TTTAAAAAAAAAAAAAAAAAAAAAAAAAAAAGTACCCTACCCTCGGTAGGGTAGCTGTTTTCTCAATGGAAAATGGCTTCCCGCCCAAACCGAAAGGGCGTCACACCACTACTTCAGTGCCAGACCGCGATTTGCCATTTACCTCAAGGGTCTGGAGAACGAGATAACGCTGAAGACTCCAGTGCCAGACCGCCCAGTTGGGCGGACTGAAGTCTCCAACGTACTTGAAGATGAATCCTCAAGGGAAAATGCCGATCCTGATTCTGCTGGCGTCTGATGGCCGCGTCATCATTCCCGARAGCGAGGTCATCACCCAGTGCATTTTGGATATGTACGCGGCGTCGGGATCCGGACCTGCACCTGCGCTGTCGACCGTGGACGAGCGTTTGACTGAGAACCTGTTGAAGCGATTGCTCGACACTTATGTGTGTGTGAATATGGGGGCGTTCTACATGACGATGGAGGCAGACCAGCTGCTGTCCAAGCTAGTGGAGCTGCGYAAGCAGGTCGGCATTCTCGATGGGTACGTGAAGGCGGCGCCGTACGCCGCAGGGGAGTTCTCCTCAGCGGATATCGCTMTGTTCCCGGCCTTCGTGTTCRTGARGAGAATCKCGGCTYTWACCKGYGGATGGGAGGACGTCTTCAAGGGCTGCCCCGACCTGGCGAAGTGGTGGGCGACCATCACGCAGCACCCTGTCGCTCAGAAACTGCAGAGCGAGATGGAGTCGGGGATGTCGGAGAGCACTATAGAACCGTGGCTGACAGCTTCAGGAGCCTTAAGCGAGTTCAAGAACACCGAGTTTGACTGGAAACTGTGCTAAGTGAGCATCAGGCTGCGATATGAGAGGGCAATAGGTAAAGGCTGGGAGGGGCAATAGGTAAAGGGTGGGAGTGGCAATAGGTAAGCAACCGGGGGTGTTAGGATGGGCCAGAAGAACAGGCAGTAGTACTGTTGTATAGTACTGAGCGAGCAGAAAAAGAGGCAATAGGACTGTTTTATAGTACTGAGGACTCTCAGCTCAGCGAAGTAAGAGGGGGGGGGTTGTTGGTTGACAGTCAGAATAGGGAGAATGGGGAGCGTAAAAAGGCAGTCGACGGACGAGTACCGACGTACGGTGTGGTGGAGGTCAATCGTCAGGTGATCGGGAGTCGGAATCCCGTTCCAACGAAGAACCCGTTGTGGGGAAGGACAAGTGAAACGCTCCGTAAGTGATCATGTATGGGTTCAAATGATGGAGATTGAATCTCAATCGGATTGTTCTTCCTCTGGATAGAGGTAGGGAGGAGAGCAGGTAGGATTGAACAGGAAGGGATGGACAGGTAAGTTTTAAGGGATGAAGACATGTAAGCGAGGCGAACGAACGAGCGCAAGGATGTTGATTGCGTCAGGCATTGGTGCAGATGCTCATAACTCCCGTGCCAATCGATGTAAGTGCATCAGCTATAAAGGATGAGGAGACGTAGGCGGCTGGCATATGACCGGATGGGAGTGAGTAGGTGCCCCGTGGTAGACGTATCGTCAGCGGTATCAACAGATCTCTTACGCGGGCTGTGTCTGAATGAAGGAGGTAGTACTAGAGGTGATAGGTGGTCAGGTGTGAAAGAAGCAGACATGTCTCGAGGGGGGAGGGAGGGAGAGAATCATTTGATAGGTTGGGGGTGGTAGGAGGAGGGGTAGACGAGGAAACTACCTGCTAATGATGGTGCGAAGGTAAAAAAGACGTGATGGGGTGGTTGAGTGTGGGAGGACATGGGGGAGGACAAGGGGGAGAACAGGGGTAGGAGAGTGGGTGGGTTGTTCCTCACGTGAGTATCTTCGGTCAGCCGCTTTGGGCATCGTCTGCCTTTCGAGAGCTAAACTCCTCGAGAGATGATTTTTAGACTGTATGTGAATGTTCGACGAAGCTTCGATGAATACACCACGACTTTACGACGTAACACGAGTTTCAATTTGCTTACGACAATGACACGGAATGAGGGTTTTGAAGTTAAAAAAAAAAAAAAAAAAAAGACTGAATCTAATAGGTTATTCTCCTGTATTTTGGTACCGTTAGATTCGCAATACATCAACGGCAGAGCTCCGTCCCACCAATGCATTTCACACGTGATAGAAAGCTCAGCGTTGAGAAAACTCAACGCTGTAGGTGGGACTAGACCCCAGGGGTGCTGAATAAAGATTTTTTTTGTTACAGCCCGCTGGTACTATCTCAACATTCTTTTTTGGTGAAGATCTAGGCTGTAGGAAATGGACTGCTTGATATTTTGGTTCTACAGCAGCCTTTTTTTACTGTGCTTCAAGGATTTTTGATTTTTGAGAGGATAGACTATTGAGATTGGGAGTAGACATGGGGCTGTTGGTTCGATGGCTACTCCGGGTTGAATTGTGAGGTCCCCGGCCTCGAATTTATCATTTAGAAATAAACTTTAATAAAGTTGATTTCTTCTCCAAAAAAAAAAAGGAAAAAAAAAAAAAAAAARAARAAGTGCGGAGTACCGAGGTAGATYTKYTTTTTTTTTTTTTTTTTTTGATCTKCTTTTCTKCAGCGTTGCATAAAACACTTTCAGATTCAGGGTATGAATACAACCCTCCTTGCGAGTGGGCCCCACCGCTCGGCAGAGAGACTCTCGTTGTTGGCGGCAGCCCCAGAAAACCCCTTGGCCGGTAGGTATGGCGATCTATCTATATGTATTGAACTTGTGTCGGTGGTCTAGGTAACTATCCAATCCGTGTAATAGGCTGCGACGGTTGATCGTCTTGTATCAAGCGGGTTGCGTGGGAGAGCGAGATGGATGACTGCGCGGGGTATGCCATCTGGCGGGGCCATATCCATGGCGGAGAGGCGATCGATTGCAAGCTGGTATGCTTGGACTCGAAAACTCGCGCCAACTTGTCGGAGTTGTTTCTTCTCGGCGGTCCTGAATGTGTAGACGTCGCTCTCGGTCTTGTTGTCCCCTGTTGCGGTGGGTTTGTGAGCAAAGCATGCAGTTCCAAGGAGAGGACGAGGATTCACAACAAGGTTGCAGATTTGGGAGGGTTGCGTGCTTTGCGTCTTGCAGCGAACATGGCGCGCGACGCCACGGCGGCACCTGGGGTGTCTTCTCGCCCATCATGGGTAGATGGGGTCGCCTGCGACCACAGCAGGAGGTTATTGTTGACGTTGGCATCGGCAGATTTCTGTGCGCCGCTGCCCGAGTGCCAGGTAGATGACCTGTCATTTCCATGGCCGGGAGGCAAAGGAAGCGCGGGTTGGACGGGAAGATGGGACCTCCATCATGACGAGAGGAAGAGGCTCTTAAGAGACCTGCATTGCTTTGGCGGTTCCGAAGCCCTTAAGGTGATATGACGCCCCTGCAACTACCACGTCTGTCTTCTCTTTTTTTTTTGGGTCACTGGTAGAGATCCGATTACAGCGTGTCTTGTACCTGTGCTCAGTATGCGAGTCTGTGCATTGTCTGGCTAATTCCTCTCAATGTTATCTCTTTTGAATCATCGTCTGATGTCGGATATTGGCCCGAATGGCTGTTTCTCGCATTTTGAGTGTGGTTCTCCTCTCAAATTTACTAGCTTTCTATTCAGGCTAAGGTTTCCCCCGGAAGAAATGTTACCCATTCCGGCATCGGCTAGGCCGTTGTTTGTCGAGTGTGGTTCTTCCCGATTGAAGCACTGACCAACGTCTGCAGACATCGGCCTCGCATTTGTATCTTTCCCCGATTCAAGTGGTAAAGGTGAAAAGAATGCTGCTCCTGAATTCCAATTATAATAAGCACACCCGCCGCGCCTACGCCCGTGGCGTTCTCAGTACCTTTGTAGAACATTCATCTTCGATTGGGGGTTGGGCGACGCTGATGCGATCGAAGTCATAGTATAGCAACCGTAGACACACACACACACACACACACACACACACACAGAGAGAGAGAGAGAGAGAGAGAGAGAGAGAGAGAGAGAGAGATTTTTGCTCATCGTGCCTCGTCCCTGTCCTCGTCGGATCATAAGGAGATAGA